AGCAATCAGAGGCTTATGCTTTTCAAGCACACAGTAAGCAGCTGAAGCTGTCATCTTGTGCACATTTACCCAGGAGTAAGCCACACTGGATGCAGGATGACTTACTTCTGAGGATCCTTGCATACAGCTAGGTTTTTGCTAGCTGAGGTGTGAGCACACATGAGGAAGCTGCCTTACCTATACTAAGACAAACTTCTAGTCTACCCAGGTCAGCACTGTCTACTCTGAATGGCAGTGGCTCTCTAGGGACTCAGGAAGAAACCTCCCTATCACTGACTATCTGATCCTTTTAAATGGAAATGCCAGAGATCGGACTTTGGACCTTCTGCATGCCAAGTAGGCAGGCTCCACCACTGGGCCATGGCTCCTCTGTCACAAACTCACTAAGTGTTCCTAACCAGGCTGGTCTGTCTGCAGCATGGGCACAATACAGGCCCACTTCACAAGGCTATTGTAAAGGTCAATGGGAATTGCAATAGTCTCAACCCCTCAATGGCTGGTCATCCCAGCCCAAGTATTTTATTTTCCTTCTTCTTATGAAAATAAGTGGCATTCATGCCAAAGCAACTTCAATCGTCCCCTCCCTAATGTGACCACAAAGGAATTAAGCCAAGGAAATATTTGTCCTGAAGTCCAAGGTAGGAATGGGGCTATAAAACATGGTCATTTCTTCTTGTAAAGGTTCACACTTTGAGGTCTCAAGGGCACAGCAGGAGACAGCGAACTGTTTTCCCAGGTCTATTCACCCCTCTCGACTCTTTGCTGAGAACTTCGTAAAGCACACAGTGTGAAACTCCAAAGACTTCTCTGACATCTTGTTATTTTCCAGGTTGTTTGTAAGAGCAGAGAGCACTGAGGTCATGATTTTGATGATACACACTAAGAATCTAAGTTCTGTCATGGCAAAACTCAGATGCCCTGAATCAAAAGCAGAAAGGACTTCACTTAGATAAAGAAGACCATCTTTCCCCCAGATAACAGTAGGATTTTTTAAACTTTCAGCACCAGCTAAGTATTGCCATGGCACAAAGATCACTCACAGCACAAAGGGGGGAAAGTGGCATGGGAACTCTGAATGTCTTTAAGTCACTTTGAGAATCTGTTTGCAGTAAAAAGCCACTAATAAGTGTACTAAATATATTTTAAAAGGCCACAGAAGCAGAAAGTAATTGCTTACATGGAAATTTCGAGGTGCTGCAGTTTGGAAGCCACGTAATTCTACACCTCTGTTTCCAAAGCACATCTGATAGCTGATGCCTCTGCTGCTTAACAGCAAGGCTTTTTTTCCCAGGCTTTGGATACCTATTAATTGTTCCTTATTTCCCTCCTCCCTGCCCTCCTCCCCAGCAGTTACTCTAGTCTATTAGGTTTCCCAGGGGTTAAACTGGAGTAAACTCAGCACAGGACTGCACTGCAGATAGCGTCACCTTCCCAGGGAAAGATCTGTCAACTACATGGCATTGTCCTTCCCACCAGACCTCCTTCCCTCCGGTTCAAGGTGTACCTGTGAGTGCAGGGTGGGGGTGGATGGATCAACACACTGTTTGGTCCCAGCTGAACTTCCAGCAGTATAATTTCTGGGGCATGCTGAGCTTAGAGGCTCCAGACCCAGAGCACCCAAGGAGAAGGAGTAGCCTGAAAGGGTCCTTTCTGTTTCTGCCTCCTCACTACATTGCCAGGGTCGAAGGAGCTCCCAACCAAGATCACACTTCGATTCCTCTCTGTATTTCTTTTACACCCCACAATTCTCCCTAGTGGGGGAACAAAAGCAGCTTACATCATTCTCTCCTCTATTTTATTCTCAACACAGCCCTGCAAGAGACGTTAGTCTGAGCGTGTGGGTGAGTGACCCAAGGGCATCCAGCAAACTTCTATGGCAGAGCAGGGACTCAAACCTGGATCTCCAAGATCAGAGTCTGACACTCTAACCAGCACCCACCCCTGACCCTCAAGCAAACTATCTAGAATTCTGAGGCACCCCAAAGTCTCTTGAAGGCTATTCCTGTTTAGAGCAAAGATGACAGCATTGAATACACAAAGCTGCCTTATACTGAATCATCAGACCCTTGGTCCATCAAGGTCAGTATTGTCTACTCAGAATGTCAGCAGCTCTCAAGGGTCTTTCACATAACCTACTGTCACCTACTTTGGTGGAGCTAAAGGAAAGGGAATAGAATGGGAGAAAGATGCCACTGCAAGGCAGAGGGGAAGCAAAAGGGGGCAAAGCAATGACTGATGCAGTTTATTATGCTGCTATGTCTCCCCCACTTTGAAAATCAAAGTAGTAGCAACACCATACATCAGGCTTAATTTATCAGATGGGAAAGGGGGATTCTTGGATATACATCCCAACACGCTTCAGGAAAAGTAAGAAACAAGAAAAACAGATGTGCCAATCTGGAAAAAGATATACAAGCCAGAAACAGAAGTGTCAGACATGCTCTTTAATTCTTAAAGCTGTACAGAACACTTCCCTACCAACATTTTACAGATGAACACTGGCACAGTTGTGTTATCTGCAATGCACAGGATCACTGCTGATAGGTGAGCAGGCTGCAACTAAGGTACTATATATGCTCTTACTCTCCCACATTTGGGCTTGCTTGGGAAACAAGGTGACACACTTTGCTTCAGAAGTCAGGTAGTCTTTTGAATACTTAAGAGAACTTAGAGAAAATCTGCCACTCAAACCAAGTTTACTATCCTGGGCAAGGAAACACAGGCAGGATGGAAGAGAAGCTATACATATGTTCACACGCACATTAATACTGATGAAGACACATCCTACTTAACCTTATCATGGAGAGATCTTGACAGAAGAAGTTATAACATGACAACTATCACGCATGCATGCACAACAGCCTATTTGAAAGTCATCTCCAACATTTCCCCCCAAAGGTCTAACAGAAACAACTGGTGTAAATACAGTTACATTTCACAGGAAAAACCAGGGAAAACAGTGCTTTCAAATATGTTATTACATGACATTACATTTGCGATTTACATACCGCCCTATCCATGAGGCTCAGAGCGGTTTACAGACACAATTTGTACCTATGCTAGGAGTACAATGGTAAGGGGAGGGTATTTTCCTAACTATTATTCTATTGCTAATGGCTGCCTTGAGCATGGGGAGGGGGACAGGACATAAAGAAAATCATGTACAAACAACAATCCTATCCTGCTGCGTCCTCCTCCGCCTTCTGACTTTGGAGCTCCGTTTGGAGCTCTGTGCTTCCTCTGCCTCCCTCCCGTGAGTATTGCGGGTCCACCCCTTGTAACCTACTGTCACCTACTTTGGGGGAGCCAAAGGAAAGGGAATAGAATGGGAGAAAGATGCCACTGCAAGGCAGAGGGGAAGCAAAAGGGGGCAAAGCAATGACTGATGCAGTTTATTATGCTGCTATGTCTCCCCCACTTTGAAAATCAAAGTAGTAGCAACACCATACATCAGGCTTAATTTATCAGATGGGAAAGGGGGATTCTTGGATATACATCCCAACACGCTTCAGGAAAAGTAAGAAACAAGAAAAACAGATGTGCCAATCTGGAAAAAGATATACGAGCCAGAAACAGAAGTGTCAGACATGCTCTTTAATTCTTAAAGCTGTACAGAACACTTCCCTACCAAGATTTTACAGATGAACACTGGCACAGTTGTGTTATCTGCAATGCACAGGATCACTGCTGATAGGTGAGCAGGCTGCAACTAATGTACAATTTATGCTCTTACTCTCCCACATTTGGGCTTGCTTGGGAAACAAGGTGCTCTGGGAAACTGACACACTTTGCTTCAGAAGTCAGGTAGTCTTTTGAATACTTAAGAGAACTTAGAGAAAATCTGCCACTCAAACCAAGTTTACTATCCTGGGCAAGGAATCACAGGCAGGAAGGAAGAGAAGCTATACAGTGGCATACAGTGTTCACACACTCATTAATACTGATGAAGACACATCCTACTTAACCTTATCATGGAGAGACCTTGTCAGAAGGAGTTATAACATGACAGTTATAACATAATATCACGCATGCATGCATAACAGCCTATTTGAAAGTCATCTCCAACATTTCCCCCCAAAGGTCTAACAGAAACAGCTGGTGTAAATACGGTCACATTTCACAGGAAAAACCCGGGAAAACAGTGTTTTCGAATATGTTATTACATGACATTACATTTGCGATTTACATACCGCCCTATCCATGAGGCTCAGAGCGGTTTACAGACACAATTTGTACCTATGCTAGGAGTACAATGGTAAGGGGAGGGTATTTTCCTAACTATTATTCTATTGCTGATGGCTGCCTTAAGCATGGGGAGAGGGACAGGACATAAAATCATGTACAAACAACAATCCTATTCTGCCCAGTGACTCTCCTGGGGTACTCCCTCATTACACATTGCTTCACTGGCTTCTGATGCTGGGTGTGTCAGGGGTTTGTTTAAAACAAGAAACTGGTGGGATTGGGAAGCTTACTAGAATTCCTCAAAAAGAACTGGCCACACAGAGTTCTAGTTATCTTTTAAAATGATATTACCAGCAATCACATAAAGCTGCCTTATATTGAGTTAGGCCACCGGTCTAGCAAGGTCAGTTATCTGCAATGCACAGGATCACTGCTGATAGGTGAGCAGGCTGCAACTAATGTACAATTTATGCTCTTACTCTCCCACATTTGGGCTTGCTTGGGAAACAAGGTGCTCTGGGAAACTGACACACTTTGCTTCAGAAGTCAGGTAGTCTTTTGAATACTTAAGAGAACTTAGAGAAAATCTGCCACTCAAACCAAGTTTACTATCCTGGGCAAGGAATCACAGGCAGGAAGGAAGAGAAGCTATACAGTGGCATACAGTGTTCACACACTACGGCCACAGCAGGCACGGCACAGCGAGCGCTTCTCCGGTCCGCTTCCCGCTCCCGCTCGCCAAGCCTCCGTTCCCTTTGCAGAGAGCTCCTGCTTCCCCGCCCCAGCAGCAAGACAGCCGCTGCGCTCCAGCTTACCCTTCGGACGCAGCCATCTTGCCTCACCGGCTTCGCTCGGTCATATGATCACCGCTGGGCTTGTCAGCCACTTATGAGAGGCGAAGGAGGCGGAGCCTGGTTGCTCCTGGCCAAGTCGCTCGTTTCCGCTGCTCTTGTGGCTGGTCCCAATGGAGTGGGGTGGGGCTGAGCGCCTTTGTGAAGCGGCGCGGATGCGGAGAAGGGGAGGGTGGTCCTACCGCGGTCCTGAAATCTTCTCTCCTCTCTCCTTATATATAATTGAATAGTGGGTGCCAAAGTTCTAATTCTAAAATGCACTCCCTTAGTGTATGGCTGATGGCACTGCTCCTCAGCATATATCACCACCAATCAGAAGGCAAAGCCCGGTCTGCCCACACCACAACTGCTGCGACAACCTGGTCTTTTGCATATGGAAGCTGATTGGACTTCAGTCCATTCCACACCTCAACACCCCCCCCCAAGGCAGTTGGAATGTCAGTTGCATTTGGAATCTGCTGTATTCTGGTGGTGTGCAGGTCCCAGATTCATGTTTTAAAAGCAGACTGACACTGTTTGCCCAAAGCCAGAGCACTCTCCCAGAGCCTCTTTCTAGATCTCGTTGTATTTATTTCCACAACGGCCTTATTTCTAGTATTATTGATAATCACTGAATATTTGTTTACATTACGGTTCACCTGTGGCACCGGGACTCAAGGTGAACTATAACTCCATGTCGTAAGGATGCCATCCTCCAGGAGGGACCTGGGGATCCCCTGGAATTATAGGTCATCTCCAGACTACAAAGGTCAGTTCCCCTGGAGGTAATGGATGCTCTGGACACTGAACTCTATGGCACTGTACTCCACTGAGTTCCCTGTCCTCTCCAGGCTCCATCCGCAAATCTACAGGAGTTTCCCAACCTGGATCTGGCAACCCCTACCCTTTCATCCCTTGCTGGTGGCCAGGGGGGACATGGCAGCCCTACTGAATGCAAGCTATGGGTGCAGACAAGAGGACTGACAGATGGTACCTGATGGCTCCTGGTTTGTGTCCACTGTTGGACTGGATGACCCATTGGCCTGATCCAGCATGGCTTCTCTTAAGTTCTTATATCTCCCACCCCCACCCCCATTCTAACTCACTTTTTCCCCTTAGACCCAGCTGGATGTAAAGTTTTGCAGGACTCAAAATCTTGCACTGTGTTGTTGTTATTGTGTTATTTAGATACCCTGCTTTTTGTTCCCCACTGGGGGTCCAAAGCAGCTTACCGTGGTGTTCTCCCTGCCTCGGTTTTATCCTTATAGCAGCCCTATGAGGAAGGTAAGACTGAAAGGGAGTGACTGGCCCCAGGTCACCCAGGAAACTTCATGGAGATTTGAACCTGGGGCTCCCAGAACCTGGTCAAACACTAACCACTACACCCACGATGGCTCTCTGCATTGTGTTATTAAACAGAGGCCTGCTAGATGAGACCAGTGGTTCATCTAATCCAGCACCTTACAGTACACAGTGGCCAACCAGTTACTCAGGAGGGCCAACAAACAGGGCAGCGCAATTTTGGGCCAGTCTTAATAAGAGGTGTTAAAGGGCTGTTGTTTTTGGAATGTTTTTCTCAGTACCGGTAGTAGTGAGACATAGCCACATTGCATGTGTGTGTAGAGTGGCATAGAGTCAGAGCCGACTTATGGCAACCCCATATGGAGGCCAGAGACAAGCAGGCGGTTTGCCATTGTGTTCCTCTGCATAGCAACCATGGACTTCCTTGGTGGTCTCCCATCCAAACACTAATCAAGACCCACCCTGCTTAGCTTCCAAGATCTGACAAGATCGGGCTAGCCTGGGCCATCTGGGGCAATATTTCACAAACAGAAGCAAATAAAGATGCTCCCATGAACATAGACCACGCCCAACCTCACTGTCAGAATACCCCACCACCTCCTGCCCAACCATGAGGAAAGGTGGGGTATAGATGGTGTTATGTCCTGGGCCTGGCATTGACCAACCTAGCTTGATACAGAGAACAAAAGTGAGCTAGGATCCTGGAAGGAACCTATAGACCAGGAGCCGCACTGTAAATAGCCTATCTCCAGTAGTGTGTGTGTGGGGGGGGTTGTGCACGATTTAAGCAGGGCTTCGGTCCTGCTAGTCTTGTCTTAGTTTTGAGCTGATTCACAATAAAGCATAAGCTGATCACTGCTCGCATGTCAAACCCAGTATATTTCAAAATGTTTTAATAAATAAAAATAATAAAAATTGAATAAACTCTATGTTTTTGGGGTCTCTTCTCTGCTTGCTGTTGATAAACTCTGCAATTAAATTCCTTATTGAACAGGAATCCAGGGGTATCTTTAAAATCACCAGAATGTATTTCCAGCTGTTGCCAGTCTTTTGGGTTACCCTGGACTCCTGATGAATGTTGCTGCAGTTGAACTCAGTGGGTCTTTCTTTTGAGTTTACATGCTTAGTATTGCACTGTAACATGGCTGCCCTTCTGGAATTAAATTTGTGGCCCCCAACTCCAAGTTACAGCAGCCTAGGAAGGTTATGGCCTTGCCACCCAAGGTGTACCCTAACTTTAAGTTGGGACTCGTTAATAACTGATCTAGGGGAGGAACGAAGTGGGGTCCAAGGGAAAAGTCCCTCTTCCTTAGCAGGGGAATGGGTCAACTGCAAAAACTAAATCAATGGAGTGGCCAAAACGCCCACTGACCCATACATCTTCCCTGCCATGCTCAAAAGTTCCAGTCTGAAATCCAGTGTGGAGTTGGTCCCCTTTTCAGTCCAAATAAGTGGTCTGGTTAGTTTTGCATAGGATCACATTTCCTTTTTTTCACATTCCTTGAAGTCTTTTTGGAATGGCCTTGCTTTGTGAGAGTGACCAGCACACTAGCGGCCTGCAGAAAGAAATGTGCTGCCCCTTTAATAGAGTCTTAATGTGTGGAAGCAGGCAGGTAAAGCTTTTCTCTGCATTTTGGTCTGTAATATCCCATGAAGTGTCTGTTAATGTTTCTCCAGATCCCTTAAGGAGGCAAATGTTAAACCTTTGCCAAAGAAACCCTCCTTAGATTAAAAGGAGCTGGCCAATAACTGCCCAGTGTCTAATCTGCCTTTTCTGGGGAAGGTCATTGCGTGAGCAGTGGTCCAGCAGCTCCAGGTTTTCCTGGATGAGACATCTGCCCTGGACCCTTTTCAATTGGGCTTCGGGCCTGGCTTTGGGACTAAAGACAGCACTGGTCACTTTAGCTGACGATCTCAGTTTACATCTGGATAAAGGCATGCAGGCTCTGCTGATCCTTCTGACTCTATCAGCAGCCTTCAGCCCCGTCCCTGCAAAATGGATTGAGGGTGGATTAAACCGGCGTGATCAGATGCCAACATTTGGCAAGCGTCGCGCACCCGCCCCCAACCCGTCCCTTCCGGCCGAAAACGCGGATCTAAAAGGTACCAGGGAAAATGTAGTACCTACCGGAAGATCCACAGCCAGCCTGGGCGTGGGATCGCGGACACGCCGGCAGCCCGTGTTATTCGAGGGACTGCTGGACTGCGCATGCGCACGAATACTCCAGCAGCCTCGGCTCGCCCGTCTTTGCCTCACTTCCCCCAGCCATGTGATCACACCAGACAGAATATGCACGGCGGCTCGGGAAAAGCGTCTGATCCCGATTCCACGCTTTCCTTTGGTGCAGCTCTAAGAAGCCGCACTTCCGGCATGGCTTTTCCCGCCGGTGTGACTGGGACCTTCAATACATCTGACCATTTGGTCCTGATTGACCGCCTTGCCTCCCTGGGGGTAAGGGGCGCTGCCCTTAGCTGGTTCTGGTCATTCCTCCAGAGATGCTCTCAGAAGGTCAGGCAGGTGAGGTCTTCCCAACAAGACCTGAATTGTGGGGACCTGCAGGGTTCGATCCTTTCTCCAATATTATTTAACGTATATATGAACCGTGTTGCAGAGATCATCAAGAAGTCTGGAGTTGGGTGCTCTGCTCTGCCCTGTTATATTCCACCTTGGCAGACTCTCACCCACCTATTTGCTCTGTGTTGTTCTATCTACAGTTACCACAATTAGACATGGGTTGCAGACGCCATCAAATGTTTTAGTAATGTCTAGTAATGTCAGGAAAAAATATTGGTCTTTTATTATGTATAGATTACTATATTTATTATTAATCTTGTATTATACTTTTATTATGTAACTCTGTTGTAAACCGCCCTGAACCTGCTTGCAGGGAGGGAGGGCTAAATGTCGAACAAATAAATAATGTTTTAAATAAATATAGGCACCCACACATCTGGAACGTGTGTATTATGTATTTTATTTCCTTACTTCATTCATATCCTGCTTTTCTTCCAAATGAGAACCTAAAGTGGCTTATATCATTCTCCTCTCCTCCATTTTGTCCTCATAACAACCCTGTGAGGCAGATTAAGCTGAGAGTGGGCGGCCCGAGGTCACCTAGCAACCTTCCATGACAAGAGTGGGGATGTGAAACTGGATCGCACAGACACGAACCATTACACCACACCAACTGTAGTATGTGGAGATGTAAAATTTCTATAAGTTCTGGAGCCAAAGAAGGAAGACCAGTGGTTTGAGTGTCAGACTGTGATCTGGGAGAACCAGGAAACCATGTTTGGACATGGAAACTCACTCCATGGTATTAGGCCAGGCGTACTCTTCTCAGCCCAACCTACCTTACAGGGCTGTTAGGGGAAAGCAAAGCGAGAGAGAATCACGTATGCTGTTCTGACCTCCTTGGACAGATAGAGAGGGAGACAAATCAGTTTGCATGTTGTGATTTTTCCAGGATAACTATTGCTAAGGGTGCCTTGACCAAGATCCCATCCCCCCCCCAATCCTGGAAACAACAGCTCTTTCCCATGCAATGCTGCAGAAGATGCTAGGACCCTTTTCTCAGGGTGCCCTTGTCCTCTGCAACGTCGTCGCAGCAAATCCTGGCCAGCCCCTCTCAGAAAGTGCTGCTCATCCTCTTGAGATGGCAAAATGCCTAGGGCTATCCCGAACCAAGTAAATGTTTAGTAATAATAGCTACACAGTAAACCCAAGGGAGGGGAAAACAATCTGTGTAACTTCTGCAAAGTGCTTTAAAAAATATTGGA